ATTGATACTCTGTCGCTAATCGGCATTGAGTAAGGTTGTAATACTGATTATCGTGAAGTCTATTCTGAAGTCATTTCGGTCACAATAGGATATCGGCTTTGAAACGCGTTTCTTTCTGACCGCTAACAAAACGTATGTACTGTAAAAAGTGGCTGCTTAAGTAGTATGCATTTTTATCATAGATTTTGACTGCTTATATAAAATTAAATATACTTTGTGGATAACATTTACGAAAACATTATTTCTTGTACTCGTATGATAGCAAATTAGGGTTTTTTCAACTTGACTCTTACAGAAGGGTATCTTTTGGTTTTACAAAGTCTCTAATTATGAGCTCTTTTGCGATTGTGAGGTGTTCATTCACTATACATCACATCCGTCAATTTATCAATGTTGCCTATAATGCATACAGCATGATCCACATGTATTGTGATATTTTATGAGAACTATGTGACTTCTTCCTCAAGCCGTAGGCGAATACTTACCTTTCCTTAAACAGAATATAATACACAGCGCGCAGTTTGTAAACCTTGAATTTAAGTGTAGCAGTCAGTATGTATAAAAATTATTCGGCAATTTAGAAACTCTTTTTAAACCAAAAGCTACCCTTTCTTTAAGTATAAAATCTAAAGAAGGCGTAATTTGCTACCAAACGAATGCAAGGAATATTTTTTCGTTCCAGTTTTTCCATAAGATATATTTGAGTTTATATAAGCAGTCAAAAACAATGATAATGCATACTACTTAATTAGCTACTTCTTACAGTTCATAGGTTTTGTGAGCGGACAGATGAAAGCTCGCTAAAAAGCCGCCATCCCATGGTGACCGAAATGACTTCAGAATAGACTTCACGATAATCAGTTCTACAACCTTAGTCAATGCCGATTAGCGAGAGAGTATCAACCTTTCGCATATGTCGGCATGTTACGCGAATTTTAGGCCGCATTATCGTTAGTTAGTAATGCATACACTGGCAACCGGCCACAAATTCACGTGGGAGAAAACAGGGCTTGTTGGCACTTATCCAACAGGAAAAAGGCCCTGAATTCCTGGAAGCAATGGACTCTCACGAGGCATGCATCAACAGGCATATCGATTTGGACGCCAGCTATAATTACCTCAAGGCCAAGTTCACAGCGCGCGACCAACTACGACGGAATGACGAAATGAATGTAACGTTCACTGGCGCAGACTGACGTAGTCCACAGTTGTCAATCGGTGCTTACGTCAGATAATTATTGATTTTTCTGCACTTTTAACATTTTAATTGTTTGTCGCACATTTTCTCGGGTCTGAAGACGAGCTGGGGAACCAGTCTCGAAAATTTACGTATTAAAGTTTCAACTTCCCCAAAGAAGCCTTTCTCTTCTTAGTAATAAATCATAAACCGACAATATAAATTTACAATTATCAACTGTATTTAGAAGTTTTGAGAATGAGCCCGAAAAAGTATCAAAAATGCCCGCTGTCACTATTAACTTCGGAAGTCTTCTATGAGTTGGAAGTTACATAAATATTTTTATAGGTAGAATGACATGACCAACGAAGACAAGGGAGACTGAAATGGCCATTCCTGGCTTATTAGTCGTCATCAGCCTGCCCTACCCAACTCCAAGTGGTGCCCTATCCAAGGTTGGAGGACAACAGTGAGCCCGTGACACAATTGTTAGTGGGCATTCTAAATAACAAGGTCGGGGGTTCAAACTTCGGTTGGGACACCACTTGGGTTTGGTTACGGCTGGTTGCTGACGGTGAATGAGCCAGAAATTGCTATTTCAGTATCCCTTGTCTTTGTTGGTAATGTCATTCTGACAAATATAATTAGTCACCGTGCGGCATGACTCGAGAGTGAACCCGAAGCCCAAAGGGAAGAATGAGTCCTTTTACCAATCGGTGGGCGCCTATCTTCCACTACATACTTCTATATCATTATTATTTGCTCTTTACGAAGTTATTAAGCTGCAATATAACTGTCAGACTTTATGCAACCCCTATGTGTAAAAAGCCTGCTTCCTCGTCCTCAGTCGTCTGAATTCACATCCAGCCGGAATCCCATCATGGTTGATCTTATCTTTGTAGTTCAACTGGTCTATATGTGAAATAATCGAACGATTTTTGTCATTGAAAGGATACATCGGTCTTCCGTATAGGGAATTGTGACGCCTTTGGAGTTGGTGTAACTGTAGAAGGAAACCTCGAGGGTGTAACAGAGCGTCCGTGGGCCAAACATGCCGCCGACAGCCCTGGAAAAGGAGGGGTAAATAGAAGCTAAAATCATAATTGAAAAATAATTTCAACTAAAAATAGAATATTGATTAGTTAAAATAGTTAACTTAAGTAATTAATTAAAGATAAAAATCCATTACCATTACCATCGGCCACGTATTACAGAATTCTGGGGTTTGGTTTCTGTAGTGAGCCCTGTACTAGACTCTTACCGGAGTTTCTTCTGTACCGCAGTCTGCGGCAAATCAGGCGCACTTTTGGCGTGCGAAGAATAAAAGCCCAAAACAGACGGAGAGACACTATTACTACCCAAACAAGAATAGGCGCATACCGATTTATTGGCTTTCCGAAGTAAATAAGCTCCGTAGGTGCAAGGCAACAGTCACGAACAAGAAACGAACCTCCGGACTAAATTATGATAAAAGAGGAAGCAGACGACCATCTGTGCCGTATACGAGAACATGCTTTTGCTTCTGGCCACAGGCAATGATCAGGGTTATGATTAGCTCGGTGGAGACAGAAAGAACTCGAAACAGTTTTGTATCAATCAGTCCGCACTGTCTGTCGTCTGCCTCCACTATCCTGTCACTGCTGTTGACTGTTCTAAATACGCTTTTCCCTAAGAATCTATCAACGGATTATATTCAGGCAGTCACTAACAGACGAGAAATCGCGTCATTACCTTCTCTATCTTGGCCCAGAGGGTTTGGGAACGCAAATATTCAGGTTA